GATTACATAATCAAAAGTACGTGCTCCGGCGCATCTATCTATGCCTTTCAGAATTTAGCTACCGGAACCTGGGCGTGAGAATAGTGCCCTCCGGGGGCACCGCGAGGAAGGAAGCGTGTGTGGTGGGAGGCGGCACCCCGGAAATCTCTCCCGAACCATGCGGCATAGGAGCAGACGCAGTGTTGGTCCAGCCTTGAAGAAACGAATCGATCAGCATATGAAAAGTAAACGAGACAGAATGATTACATCACTCGCTGCAGTTGAGATTAATTTGACAATAATGCTGCCGATATCGGAATTGCCAGTTCTGCCAGCGCACGAGCCTCAGTATAAGAAACGGGCCAAGATGAAGAAAATGTACCTTTGGCGGTCTTCCAGCTACGCTTACACCATAATTCAGGAACAGTTGACTGATCCGAGCAATGCCGCGAGCAACGAGCGCCTGCCCGAGAAAAATCCAGGACAAAGCACGATGGTCATTGAAGCACCATCCCTCTGCAAAATTGAACGTCAACCCCGATAGCATGCATTATGTTTGCTAAGGGTTTGCCTATCCTTTGCGGTAGTGAGGGGTGGGCGCCAATCTGAGGGTGCGTGGTTCCGGTTGGGTGATATCGGGTAAATCGGCAACGACTAGGTGGTGAGATCCCCGCCAATATGACATCCTTTAGCTGAATAGCCACTACGGAAGAAGATGTATGCAAGTCTCCATCCTCCATTCACGCTACTTGGAAGAGTTGAGAAAATACGCTTCGTGAGTAATCACTTTGTGGTCGCCCGCCTTCAGCTTGGCGTGAGATCAAGAAACAGAGGTTATCGGAATAGAGCACGTACGATAATTCCACGGCTATCCAATGTCATTCTAGTCCTGATTGATGATGCCAATCGCTACTGTGGACCGTCAACCCGAGATAAAATGGGAAAACGAAGAAGCCTACCATGTAACCTGGTACCATCACCGTAGAATGCGCATATCCACTTCACGCAGGCACGACCTTCTTCATCAGAGTTCAACCCTGTCACTGCGACCATTCTTCCGAAGACTCCTTAGTACCACCGCACCTTCAAGAACACAGGCAAACTATGGCTCGATGTCGTCGTAATATTGATAGAACGTTTCGAACCCGCTCTTTGATAGAAGCGCATACGTGCTGGTATTGGATGCGAGCATATCGGGCCAAGTCCTTGACGGGGAAGGCAGATTTCTGGTGATCTAGTTGGTTCATAGAATCTGGCTGAGGGGAAGAGAAGGACCTGCATTACGTCTCTCCCGGTCCGACTCAGAGGGTTAATAGTCGCCGATCTTCCTACGTTAGAGGATTCCGGCAGTAAATGCGCATGTCTCGTTCTTGAGACGAGGGATTGCAGCTCTGAGCAGTCAAGGTGACAGTATGCATTTTGCAGTCGCAACGATGTCGTGTTTTCTTCCTTTCCGAGTCGTGTCGGGTTGAACAGCGAACCCTGAACCTGAAAACACGAGTCAAACAGAGGATGAAGGACAAATATGACAGACATACGCCGTGCAAAGGGAGGACCCTTGGCGTAGATGGTATCGATATCAGAAGACAAGTTCTGCAAGCACATGAAGTCATGCAGAAAAAAAAGGTTAGGAGAAAGAGAGCGCACGTTTTTCGATCAGTTGCCATCCAACCCCTCATATCCTTCCAACGACTTATCCAGCGCGAGTTGTATTGTGACATCCTCGGTCACGTAAAGATTACGATGTACCTCTATCCTGCAAGCTCAAACAGCTGCTGCTTCTCGATAACTACACGTCTATGAGTCATCCGATGAAAGAGAAATAGCTACAGTCAAACGCACCAAGAATTTAACTTCGCGGAGAGTTCCAAACGGCTGGTCCAGATGGAAGTTTTCTGTTATTACGTATCGATGCATTGATGATTCGACAGAGTTCGAAGTCGTCATTGTTAAGCTACGGAAGACACGTCGTTAGTGCGAGGTGGTCGTGGTGGTAAAGAGAGAAGTCAGATAACAACACGCTCAAACAAAGAACGAGCCGGACCGGTTGCTCCTGGTTTATCACGATGAAGGTACAATATGACAAGCACGGGATCTTGGCAAAACTTACTCATTCACAGAGATTCTCTATACGAGATACGCTTACCGAATTCAAATTTCATACATCCGTGAAAATTCGTAAGAAAGCAGGCAGGTTTGGACATTTATTATTTTAAATAGTGCTCCTTCACTCTGGAGATATGCCTTTCACGATGATCACGGTCAACATCAAAGATCTTCACATACGACCCCATCCTATTTATTCCTCCATTCAATGAATTCCTTGGTTCGCTGTCCATCACCCTCCAAGCCTTCCGAATTGTGACTCCAATGAGCATCACCAAAGCGAATTTTGACATGGGGATTCATTTCGGGTTTCGCATCGAAACTTCCTAGAAACGGCTTGAGCAGAACTTTAGTGGCTTCCCATGTCTCCGTGGTTTCCTCCCCTGTCAAATCGTGGCGAATGTCGTCATCCCCACCAAAGTCGGAAACATCAAAGGTTGACTTCTGTGCATAGCCATAGTTTTCCTTGAAACAAGCTAGCATGAGCTTATCACTAGGTCTGAGACACCTATGTACAATTACCAGGGACTTTTGCGAGGTAATACCGTAGCTGGTGACTGTGGATGGCATAAATATATTAATACACACTTCAACAGAGCAAAGAACATGTGTACGCAGATTCATGGGGACCAATTGAAGCCTTAAAATGGCGAATATTCATAGAAGCCACTTTGAAAATCATATCAAGTTCGCAAAGTGGATCTGGGTCGACGTGATCATAGAGGGACATTTCGTTAGCATTTGGTATCCATGGCCCCACAATATCAATCCTTTCGAGTTCATCAAGAATAATACCAGAATCTTTGAGGAGGCTGAGAGGACTTCCCCAGTATCTGCAACAAGACTTGTCCAGAGTCTTCAAAGCTATTTGAAGGCAAGACGATTTCTGTGGAGTATCCTCTTCTTTACTCAAGTCATCCAACAACAAATATTCAATCGAGAGGCATTTCAAATTCGGAAAATGTTTCAAGAGTCTGATTAAATCCCCGGCGGTCTAGGCAGTGTTAGGTCCTTCATTTTCAATCCGAAGCTCCGATATGCTGATAAACGATTGCCCCACAGGATTTTTGACAGGGAGAGAGGCATGGTTTTAAAATCCAACACGATCAAGGACCAACATGATTACTTCAGGATTCATCGGAATGCCAGAAACAAGATCCTCGACTCTCAAAAACAGTTGTGCTCTCTAGGATCATTTCCAGTCATGAGTATGGACTGTATAACAAAGAAAGGAAAATTTAACAAGGCATTTACCGCATGTCGAGATGATCAACACCGTGAAGACTGAGGCTCTGAATCCGGACATCTGTCGCTTGTTATAAGGCTTACTTCTCGGGATTCTCCCACTCAACATCGGATGCAATGAATAATGCCCTCTCAGACACTGATAGTAGGTGCAATACTCACCTCACTTACTCAAGACTGGTCTGAGCCTGAGCCCCTTCTTCAAGTTTAAGAGGACTCAGATTCACAGTTCCTTTCCCTTCTAAGTGTTTCAATTCATTGATGGCATTTAGAAAAGCGGAATGGGAACAGAATGGAAGCTGTCATTGTAAAATATTAGTGTGGTATTTCCTTCATTTAAGCTCTAGCATTCGGCCACGGTGAGTGACATACCTGAGTAACCAGCGTTGTTTCTCACCGAGTTTGCTCCGTGTCGTAAAAGGAAATTCTAGGGATGTCCAATGGAGTGTTTGCGAACGTTTGCCACCATCGAGGCAGTATCCTTGACCATCCCTAGGACTCAACACCCACCTTCATTGTCCCCAATACTTCCCTACACGAGAGACGGATTCATCGGCTTGTACCACACCATCTCTGAATTTTATCTCTTCTTTCAAATGCTTTCAAACATTTGAAGATGCAGTGAGTCCTAACCATTTGCATTCATTTCCTTTGTTTACTCAGACATTCATCAGAGGTCAACATTTTTAGCTCTTCTCTCCTTGGACATAGTACTAATTCGTGGAGTTTGTGACAGAACCAGAGAGAGGTACTGGGCAGAGTAGGTGAAAATATGCTCGCTCCATGCCGTGCTAATAATTCAGATGTCTTCCCAGGCAGGTACAGCAGTTATGGACTTATTTATCCAGTACATTCCCCATACAAGAGTTTTACATCCATCAAATCAAGGAGCTTTCGAAGTCCCGCATCTCTACCAGCAACCTTCCTCTTTCTTGAGCCTCGAAAACGACGAAGGTGACATCCTGATATCAGGGCCTACCGGGAAACTGGAGTCGGATGGATTTCTCCGTTGTTATACGCCTTTGAGTCATGTTTTCCGGAATGCCTAGGGTCAAGTTTCGACTGTTCGCAGGAGTACCTGGGTTGGGTTTGGTTGAGAGAGAGTGAAGCAAAGGTGCGTATCCTGTATTACCTAGGCTTCTGGCAAGTGATATCCCTCTGACAATGTGCAGATATAAAACCTATTTCGAAGGTGAGGTCTTGCATATGCAAGGTCTCAAGACAAATAGGCTTCAAATACGGTGTGTTGCAGCTTTGTAACTTGCGGTTTCGGAAATGACTTGAACGAGGAATATTGTGGCAATGACAGTCAATGATGAGGAACGGAAGTTAGCAAGACCTACCTTGCATATCACAGTAGTGTAAATTACAGTATCAGCCCAGTGCCGGCGCATTTTTTCACCACTTCAATCTATAAAAGAGAACCACAAGACATCTAGGTAAATGCGTACGGGAAAGGAAATTAGCTTGGTCGGCATTTTAAAAGCGTTTAGGTGTGTTCTACCGATTTCAAGTTCCGCATGCTTCCACATTTCTCGGTCCGAAATTTTATCTTCCGCTGTATATTTAAGAACAAGGGCAACGGGAGACTTTTCTCTCTCACCACGACTATCAAACAGCTATGCCCCGATACACCGCCTCCCAAGGGCAAATCGTTTTTTAAAGCCCCGATGCACAACACTGTACGGCGGATTCGCTACCATCCGTACGCTCAGTACGGTCCTCGCGCACATTCCGTCTCAACTCCGCAGGTGAGCTTCACCGAGCCAGATTCCTTCGAGCCAGATTCAAGCTCGGACATCTAGCCCTTGGATCGCACCGTTTCAAAGACCACGGCGAGCGCGCTTTCACGCCCTACTTTGAATGATCATATTCAACGTCTTTCCTTGCATCGACAGGTTTACAAGAATCCCATGAAGCAACCATCGAAGACGGACGACGACCAGTCCTTTAGTTGGTGGAAAATCGTAACAGGCCTTATTGTGAGCGGAATGCATCTTCTTCATAGCGAAGCCGCCGTTGACACCTCGCTTCCTTTCAGCTCATTGCTGTAGCTGCGCGCGTCGTGGTGCTAATCTACGGGTACGAAATTCTCTGACGTGCATCTACCGTACGTGAGTCTTCTGTGCGTAGTTGATATCGCGCCAACCAAGACTCACTGCGTCCCCGTCTAGCGTTCACCGTTTTTGTCCCTTGATATCTTCATTTTTTTACATTTTGTCTTTGCTGTGCTAAAGTCGACACCGTTTCTTTCCTTCAGCGCGTTTGACGAGTCCATAAATATAGAGTTTTGAACAATATATAACAAGTTGATTCAGTATCATGTAGCTAGCGTCAGAAGCTTGCGAAGGGTAAAACGAGAATTATTCAGTTAGCCTCTACTCTCATTCTCGGCCTCTAAGCAGTGAGTATCGGGTTCTGTGAGGGGTATCGTATATCCTTCAGACCGTCTCCGCGAGTATAACGAGATGGTTACAGCGAGAGTCCAACGATTCCCAAACAAAAAGCGGAAGGGAATCTGAAGATCTCGCAGGAAAGATCCGCCCATTGGAAAATAGTGCAATCCCGAGGGTGCATATGAACGAAAGTTTAATATAGACGCGATTAAGAGCCATTGTGCTCCTAGGGAGAAAAGAGGAGCCACGTTGCCTTCTGGATTCAAGTGCCTGATGCTGTCGGTAAGAAAGGTACTTTTCCTTGGCGGGGTCTCCAAAATAAGATGAAGTCAATCTATTCCAGAATGTCGAAGGTATCGTGGGACTGAATCGTTCCTGACATTGATTAATCAGATGGAATCAACCCTTCCTAGCATTCATGGTGATTTCAAGCCATCTGGATGATTATATCTGGCGAAGTGAACCGTTGAGGGAGACTCTCTCGATGAACATGTTCATAGGATATGCCCACCTCATTTGTATTCCGAAAGACCCGAAGAATAAACTCCAACTAGTTCGTTAGCAGATAGTCCAGACTCTGATTAAAATGAGTGCCGTTAACAACGACCAACCTGAAGGAAATTGATCGGAACGACGGTGCAGCAAGAATATTGAACGTACGTCCAGAATGTGCTGTTGCTGATGGATTCATGTCCATGTGGCGGCGCAGTAGACAGTGAAAAACTGTCGAGCAACGGATGGAAGTCGCGAAGATATCTATGTAATAGGTCAGTACTCTAAGTGAATCCTTTTAGGCTCAGACCAAAGTAACGGACGTACTGTTGCTCTAGGGGTAATTCTTATTTTGTTGTAGAGAAATCCAGATTACCGGGTTGACAATCATCGGGATAACATCACGAGAACTACTAGGATCCTGTGTTGGCATGAGAAAATAAACTGAGATAATGCGGAATAGGCGTACCTAGAGGCGCTTGAACATGTCATACACCTTATCATGACTCATGGTTACCAGATTTTCAGATCTTCTTCCCATCAAGCGATAAAGAGATGACCAGCTCGGCTATCCTTAGTACGGTGTCACAACCTTGGACGGAGCTGTGGAACTCTGAGTCCAGATGATATTGAGGCTACTGTCTAGCTCCAGCACTCATCAAGTTCTCAATACAGATCCAACAACAGTTATTGTAGATCGCAAGAAAGACTTAACGATGAACCACCGTGCGCTGTGGGAAGAAGCCATTAGCTGAATCTTCCAGCGGCGCCAACGATCATCAATGATGAAATGGTCTTGCCCAGCCTCCAATGTTTCCATCTGACATAAGATCTGGCTTTGAAACATTAAGGGCGTCAGCGTGTGATCTGTATGCTAGGAAATTCTGCACCTCGTTCTCGCTCTGCTTAGATCCTCCGGAAACAATGTTCAGTACTTCATAACGACGAACGACATTATGCATGTCTTGAACGACTCTATCGACGGCACAAAGCGTGGAGGTTGCGATGGTCCTAGTGTTAGTGGTGTGCTGGGCATACCGTTAGCGACACAGATGGAAAATGCTTACACAAAGCGTGGGGAATGGCTTCATCCGTAAGTACAGGCGGCGTGGCCAGCGTTTCCGGCTTGCTGTCGAAATCGTATAATATTCTCATCGCAAAGGTTTGATAGTTGTCCCTGAAGAGATGTGGCTTTTTCACCGAAGCCATTTAATTGGGAAAGTAAGGGATGAGGACATAGCGTTCCGTTCACCTGGAGCCATCGTGGAGAGGGCTCCTGAAAAAGGGCACTTTTGAGCTTTGCACAAGGAAGTCGGAAGTCATAGTCAATGACGGTAGCTACCATGAATCTCTCTCAAAGCTTGCAATATCCTCTGGGTAGCCAAGAGCGAGCGTTTCCATGCTGCATCGAGTATATTGACAGTAAAAACTTGATCTCCGTAGCACAGTTGGCGGTAGGATTCGCCATAAGCATATCTCTTCCTGGCGCATAGCTGGCAAATCGATGGGCATTTCTTTAGGCGCCGGCCCGTTACCTACGCGTTCATCTCGGGTTCTTGAACAGCATACAGCACGAGAGAAAGATGGAAATAAAAATTGAATTTTCATGTCTACAGAGAACAATAAGGGTAACATTTTGTGGGCAGGAATAGAAGACGTACCTGGCTGCCTGCCTTTAGGAAGCGGGAGAAGCGAAGTGGAAATTCCAAGCAAAAGGCCAAATTACGACAAATACCGGAGCGTGCCGAGTTCCCTCCTTGCCACCGATACCCTTCTTTCTTTCTCCCATGGTCCTTTAGGCAGACTCGAGCAACGGTCACAATCCGAAATTTGGAACTTTTGATTTCAGTTTGCTTCTCCATCCGTGTTCTGTGGCCGTTATTTACACCAGTCATCGAAGACAAGCCTCGCTGGAAACGTTGCAGACACCTACCAGGGCAAATACGGAGACAGGAAGCCGTCCATGGAGAATATGCGGGAGCCCGAGTATTCTCGACATCCATGGCGTTGACACTCTGCAGGACTACCAAGTCTGAGGTTACCCTTACCTTACGGTGCGTCGCTATGCCTAAATTTTCCTGTTTCTTCCTGAGCTAACTGCAGCTCTATAGTGGTTCATTCTCTATAATGTGAACGAATTATTTACATCGACAATGTCTTCCCCTTTGGTCGCCGATCCATCCGCAGCGCGATTCCCCGCTGCAGACGGGGTTGTACTTCAAATGATGCATCGATGTTAATAATCAATACACAGTCGGCTCTGCACAACTGAGACCCTCGCAATCTTGTGTGGATGGCTGGACTTGGCTATCTACCATCATCCCTACTCCTACAGCACGACCTATCCGCCCCAGTCAAACGATAGCCACACGACGACGGCTATGGCTCTCGGTACCGTCAACATTACGACATTGCGTAACGCTACGGAGCCTGAACATTTGGCTACATTTTCGACTGTGGTTACCGGAGAAAATGGGAGAATGGGTAAGCGTCTCAGCCGGGTGCTGAGAATATTTTATTCACGTCTTTTTCACCAGAGCACGGGATTCGGAGTATATATGTACCTTCCAGCTGCTTCGGCTTCCAGACGGATACCTGCGCTATCGAACCTATACATTATTCTATTTTTGCTCGTGTTGCCGTCGTGTCTGAATGCATCCTCGCCATCGCTGTGTTGTTCCCTTCCTTCAACATGCTTTATAATACAACGGACGTTGATGTAGACGTTGCGTGAAAATGGACACAAGGAGGAACCACACTCAGAACCAAGATTCTGCAGGTGGCCTGTCGGCACTCGGTGATATCAAAAACCGGCGAGCGGCCGAGGACTTGAAAACATTAGCATCCTTGATGTTTATACTGACTTGACTCCTACGCTTGGCGCTTGAAATTTTGATTTCGCGTCGTGACAGGGACATGGGTTCCGTTCTCCACATTCGTCTAGAACGACAACTCTTCTCAGATTTGAAGGTCAATCGGTCACAACGGTTAACGCGTCAAATGAGAGGTTCGACTCCTCTACCTCGCAATCAAACCAGTGGTGGAATTCTTTTTATAAGTTCGCTTGCCCTTCGCTTTTAGGTTTTCCCAACCATGGAACTCACTGGGGCAGCTTTGGGAGTCCACAGATACTGGAGAAAGATGTGAAGAGCGATCTTCCGCACGGGAAACATTAAAAATATCGCTCTTTTGAGTAAGTTGCCGATTGACGGCAATTATCAGGTGCGAAGAGATGAAGCATTCCCGAGTCTTCTCTGGACCTGATTAGATCTTGAGGAGAAGGCGGTATGAGGCGTACCAGAAATTTTAGGATCGTCGTGTCGAAAGGGTTAAGACATTCAACCCAGAAACAAATTTGCTAATCCACCCGTCAGCCCACTTACAGTTTCACTCTCGTTCATTCGCGTCGTACGCATGCACGACCGGTTTCCTGCCCTCTATTAATTGACGATCGCTTCCGTTTCTCCGGACAGAATATCTACAAAAATCTGCCGAGCAAACTTTCTTCGTTGCGTTTCTTCATGCAGTGAGAGAGTACCAGGAATATGCCAGTGAGCCATAAAGTTGACGTCCTTTATACAGTCTTCCGTTGTTACTTCTATATACGTCCCCGTCTGATAGGCAATGTATTTTGCGGTGCTTACCCCATAGAAATTTTTTAAAAAATGACTTGCACTATGCTATCCCCGGCATTACAGTGAGATGGGAAGGCACGACACACACCTAAATATGTTAAATATCGGACTACAAAGGGACAACTACCGTTCATCTAAGGGATTCACACAACGGTGGTGATCCTATATCCTTGGTTGTTACTATGTCCCTGCCTAAATTAGGGTAAACCATCTATCAACCTAAACTCCATCCATGCGAATTAGCGCACAAAAGTTCCCGCGACATAGAAATTTACCTCGCCGAATAGGATCAGAAGTATCGGTGTCTCGCAGAGGTAACTACGTTGGCATGATGAAGTATACCAGCGCACTGAGAAATTGGTTGGACGGCATAATTTCCGTGTTCATGCTCAAGTGATCTGCTTTCACCTGGCATCAAATCAAAAGTGATCATTGAACTACAAGTCCAACGATCAGAGAGGAGTTTCGCTGAGCAGAACTACCATCCTACAACTTTGCTCGGGAAAGAGACATTGGCGATATTTAAAAACCCCGACCGTAGCTGGATGGAGAATGATAACCCCTTCCAGGGAATCATCCGGAATTGAACGCAGAAACATTTCCGGCTAGGAGATATAGTGAAGCGGGAACTAAACGATTCCGAGTCCTTCGGAATGAGTGCACTAACCCTTTACCTCTCAAGCCTCAACTTACAGAATGTTTCGTCTAGAGGTGTTTCGAGTATAACTACGGTCCGGGGACTTTCGATTTCAAGCTAGAAGTGTAGAATCTGCGTTCTTTCGTGATGATGACGGATAGATGGTGCTCCTGACGAAATCTTCGAAGTAGGTTCCGGAGACTTTTGACCTCAAGAAGGTTCTGCCGTTTCAAAATAAAGCCTAGTATTATTATATTCGATATGCGTATATGGGAAAAGGATAAGTCACCTACAGTATCTTGTCCACCTTCCTCATACGTACGCTGATATATGATCAATGTCAACGTCACGAGGAGAGTAGGCTGTCGATGCAATAACCCGTAACATTCACGTACGAGCCAATCTGTTGATTGTAATGATGTTGCCATTGTATTCTTCGTCCGAATAATACTTGAAACTGAAAGTCCGGGCTAAGAGCACATCGTACTCGTCGACGCCGGGTATCTGATGGAGGGCCACATTGACGGTATCCATTGCAGCGAATCAGAACGGCGTGATGTAATATCCGAAAGCGAAGTTGAATTGTTTGGGGAATCATATTCTGTGCGTTCATGCACTTATGACCTAGGTTCACTTCAGACCCGAAACTCTAAGGAAGGTTCGATCTTTCGATTGGCATCGGGGGGAACCAAGAGAAAGTAGTTATTACCATCCTAATTTACAACGGAGAAAGGTAATGGCGATGTTCCAGAACCGGTGTTATGTACGTCCTCTGAGTGCTCCGCCCACTAAAGCACTCGGTAAGAAAGAAAGAATAGTGCACGTGCAGAGAAAAGGAGTGAAACAGTTCCCTACAATGATTGTGAATCGCATGTATTAGTGCGAGAACTGAATGTTTCTGGATAGTTCAGAATGCGCGCCTAGAGTCTCGACCTGCAGAAGGTTTGTGAACCGTTTTATCAAGGAAAATTCGCTTCTGGCTCAACTGCGGCCAGGGAAGAAGTCGAATTCAATCTCAAGGTGACATTCCTTGGAACGAGGAGCGGAAGAGGTTTAGGGTCTATTCCTATACTGTCAGGACACCGCGAGAAGAAGCGCCCCAAACTCGACGGCGTCGTATTACGTTGGATGGATGGTACCCCTAGCGAGATCGTAAAGTCTTGTAGATTCCGAAACGCTTCCAACTCCAAGAACATTTTACGCTTCGAAACTCGGAGTCAGGTCCTACAGGAACCAGACGTTGATCATGGGAAGATGCGATCAGGGCCCACTGACGGTTTCTTCTTAATTACGAAAGCTCATAGTCCAGGCTAGGGATCAGCAGACTATAGCACCAGGGAAAGCGTGGGGCGCGGTCAAAACATAAGCCAAAGGAAGCGAAGCTTAAATGACTCACTGTTTTATGTGATGATACTAAGTTTCTATGATGGCCACCTTTTAACTCTGATACTTCTCACCATAACAGAATTTCAATAACCGGATAGTAGCATGGTCCGATACTCACCCACTTCTAAACCCTACAGGATGTTTTAGTTTGAGACGGCCTAAACAAGCCTGGGATCAACATACGTACTCAACCACGTTTCGAAGGGTGCACTCGAATTCCGAGTCACGCGAGCATATCCTTGAAAAACACCGAGCCTCGTTTCTAAGTCACAAGCGAAAAATACAGTTTTGGGGTTGAAAGAAAGGGTATATGTTACTATGGTGTTACTATGGTTCAGTGATCGGAGAGTGTTTCGTTGAGCGCGTCTATAGGAGCCTCTCTAGCCTAGGCCTTTCTAGCGAAGGGGATTTCAGATGAATGTGATTTAGGAATATTGTTACGGAACCTCAGCGAGAAGATAGAACTGGCCAAGCTGACGGGGAGGAATGCTAGCAGGTAATTCGAAACGTAGAACGTACCACGAGTCGGCGTAAACGAGGAACAGAAAAACGAAGCCAGATGACTTTACGGACGTTTCTTGATGTGTGTGAGTCCGCGGACCAGGTCTTACTGCGAGTAGATATTTTCAAAGGTTTCTTGCACCGGCTCCGAATATTCTGTGTCATTAAATGCCACTTGATTTCAGGCCTTGATACCAAGGAAACACTGGGAAGCATTGATACAAGTGAGTCTTGCAGGTGAGATAGCCCGGGGGTGATCGCACACCGATGTCAGATCGTCATTTGATTCCGTTTTGAAGAAAACAAGCTCTCAACAAGAGAAATGGGTTCAATTATGACTAGAGAAATAGCGTATCATTAATGTCATGAAGAATAGGTGCATCAAGCGTTAACACCATTCTTTTCGGGGAGGGGCTGGTTGATTCGTCCGACTTCGTGCACGCCAAATTCAAGATACTTCCCCAGGGGTAGTAAGGGAAGAATTGAAGTAGACGTAAGTACTCACCAGTATGACTGGAGATCCTAGCCTACGGTAACCGAATTGAACCCAGGAACCGCAAAATAGGAAACCGGCAGTTATTTCGGGGTTGGGAAGCCACATTGCTCTTTCCCTGACTCTCAGGATGATCGTGTCCTTCAAATGACATCATACCACTCTTGGAGGTTTGGGGACGTCCCAAACGGAACTGCGGTCCGGGAGTGACTCGGAGATTAAAGCCTTTCACATCGGAGACAGTTACATTCAATTTCAAGAGTCACGCCCAGGGGAAGGGCCTATCGACCTAGAATATCGGACCACAACACGAGAGCGGAAATTAGGCTAATATGCGACATAGCAGTGACACAAAAACGCGTTACTCCTGTATCAAGTATCACTTGTTGTCCAGCTAACGGCCTTTTGCGCTTTGTACATTTTTGACGATGATGCAATGCGAATGTACTTATTTTGCATAGCCTTGCGAGTTGCATATACTAAGAGGATATAAAAGAGGTATTTACGGTATCTTGCAGATGCATCATAAATCTTCAGTACGAATACGGGATCACTGACTTTGATTAGTCCCGGATCACTACGTTGTATCGGTCCGAGTTGCGAGGGCTAGAGCATCAGTACCTTGCATACCAATGAACCGCCAATGGAGTCTGAGGAAATGAGCGATTTATTAATGAATGGAGAATGAAGGACGTAAAGTTCACCTGCCATTGCGCTGGACCGTCGAAACGATGAATAGCATAGTCTAAGAATGTTTGGATAACGTATGCTTCGAACCCGAAGAGAATTCAGTGCTATGATAGCGGCCGTAGTAAGTACTATCCGTGCGTCATAGTTTTCGGATCGGATGCGGAAGATTTAGGCATGAGACGGCGAACTACCAGCCTTCCGGAGAGTGCTAGAGCAAGTGTTAAAAAGCACAATTGCATTAGAAGCTGAATCCACAGTATGAGGTCCTATGATCTGGCGGGACTGATCACCGTTGAAGCAACAAGTATTCAATGCCATCTTATAACAAGAGTAAAAAATTCCTCGGCTCAGGTACATAGAATAACACTGTAGAATCATCGCCGCTTCCATCGGTGAGTTCCATACATATGTACACGTTCCCCGACCAACGGATACTATCAAATACATGCGAACTTGAAATATGGATGCAGGCGCATGAAATCATCTTCGAGCATTGGACAACTCCCCAGTATCCCAGAAGAATAAAAGATAACAAGCAGAGCGCATTAAATGAGTCGACGCAAAGGATAAAATAAATTTACGTCTGCACATGTCTAAATTTCTATTGTGTGCAATGGAATTGTCTTCAGAAAAGGTTTGGTGAAACCACGAGTAAATCTATAAGGCAGTCGCTGCGACGAAAAAGTATAAGTCAGAGTGCGAACAACGCTGTGAATATGATACTAGCAATGGTACATCACCTATGATCTCCGTGTCATTTGACTCACCATCACAAGCGAGATCTGTAAATTATGAATGTGGGAATGACGCACGTTAATAAAATCCCCGAGGAAGAGGTGCTATAGAGTCTAACATGATACTCTCTTCGGATTGCGACTCGTACATGAGGATTCATCATGTGGATACCATAGAGTATTGATCGGTCTTTTGAATATCGCGTTAGTAGTGATGGAAGGATAAATGTAGAGTGCACAGAATAACTCGGTATTGTCACGGAATATATCTGGAATTGACCGAATAAGACAGAATTTGGCTGAGATAATAATGAACTTAGGGAATATATGAATAAGTAACATGAAAGGGACAGATTTGTTGATACAGAGGGGCGATCCGAGTTCCTTGGGAGAACAATGTATACTTGCACTGCACCAAGGGAACCGTTGAAATATGAATGGGGAAATAGATATATCATTGACCTCCCGAAGAAGAGATACGGCGATCCCTAATACGGTTACTATCTTCTCCGAGGAGGTAGAGGGAGGGCTCGGGAGTAAATCGCATCGATTCATCCAAAATTTTAAGTCAAATTTTAAGATATCCCGTAGTGTTAATGAAGGAGAACTTAAATCGAAGTGGATGTAACTACTCACCACGCAGGAAGATAGAGCAAGCTTGAGATAGTCACACATGACGACGTGAATCGAGCGCTGGAAATGTGTGAGTTAAGTAATCGGCAATTACTTCGGGAATAGGAACGCGCTTTTCTCTTTCCGCGACTCCCAAAATGCTCGTGTGACTTCGTTCCACTTGGAACGTTTTCAGCTAAAATGAGACCCGGGAAGGACTCGTGAGTCTGAGATTACTGACATCAGAGAGAGTTGCATTCACTTCAAGTCAGGTCTAAGAATTCAACTTAGAACATCGGAACACGGTGCGAGAGAAAAAGTCGGCTCATAGGAATGAATGCAGCATCCAAGTGATGCTAAAACGCGACGTTCCTATGACAGTACTCTTTGTTGTCCAGACGACGACACTCCAACGATGATGCAATGTAAGTACCTGTTTTGCATAGCCTCAGCGAGTCGCGTAAATAGAAATGATATGAGGAAGAGATTTACGGTATCGTGTGGACACGTCATGAGGGTAGAGACGAATACAGTGCCACTAACTTTGATTAGTCCCGGATTAGTCCGAGCTGCGAGGGCTAGAGCATCGGCACCCTGCGTACTAATGAGCTGCTATTAGTGTCTGAAGAAATGAGCGATTTTAATGCATTGAGGATAAAGGTTGTACAACTGCGCTGAGTGGACAAGGACCCTTCCGCCTAGTCACTAATAAATGATGTACGCTCAAGGCTTGAAAGAGGCAAAGAGAGCTCAGTAGTCAATTTTGATAGCTGCCATATAGTAGGTAATATCATGCGCCATAGGATTCCGATTCGGATGCAGAAGATGTAAGCAAGAGACGGCTATCCAATAGCCTGGCGGAAAGTACTACGTCCAAGAGTATAGCGGCATTAAAGGTGCAATGCGCAGCAGAGAAGTCCCATGATAAGGCGGGATTGATCACGTGCCAAGCGAGATTTGCCGCGTCATTAATCAGCGTTGGAGCAACAAGTATTCAGTCTCGTCTGGTGACAAGAGAAAGAAAACGCCTCAGCTCAGGGCTACGGAATATCGTTGTATAAGGCTCTCCGCTTGCAGTCCGTGGTTTTCAGACGTACGTACATATTCCGCACTAGCAAGCAGTCCCCAAATTTGCCATTTGAAGCATAGCATGGGCGCTAGAATAACCGGCGAATAGACGCGTTATGGCAGTGTTGGTGCACTAGTACTAGGCTGGAGAATCCCTCCTCAAGAGTCAGATAATTCGTCGTAGAGTACCAGGGAGAGTAGCAGGAATAACCAACGCGGAGCGTAGATCCAATCTGCTTTCGTAGATAGGCATGACAACGAAGGTGTCATAGACACTTTTAAATCTGCACCGTGGACGTACAAAAATAACTTTACCTGTACACGAAAAAAAACTCAGAGGCTAGACCTGCTCTTACGTTTCGTTAGAGTTGGTAGGTGGAATACTAAGGACGAACTAACCTTTATCTAAATCGAACGTCTGGAGACGCAGTCCGATGTGTGAAGATGTCAAAAATAAAACTTGGACAGGCATAAAAGAGCCTTGTTTAACATCGTACTTGGCCTGCTTGAAATGGTGATATTTTTCGAGTGTTCGAAATCAAGATGAGCAGTGCTGTTAGGGTGAATGAGTCCGTAAGCGGAGGATAAAAATCCAATGTGCAGGTAGACGTTGACAGATTCATGGCAAATAAAATCTCTATTATTAGTAGTGTAGCTAACGGAAGTCTCGTTTGTCAGCAAGGAGACCGCTATTCCTGATAAATTACTAAATACTGAGTCCAAGTTGATAATTCGGGACTAGGCGACTCAGTAAACCATAAATATACAGGTTGAGGATTGGATGGAAAAAGGCATAGATGCGCATTATCAAATCGGAAGGACAAAGTATTAACAACCAGGTATTTCAAAGCCGGAAGTTCCTGCGTGAGGTCAGAGGCATTGTTGAAAAATCAATCGATGGATGCAATTTATAGACAACGTTCTATTGGTATGCAGTTTTCATTGGAGTAAAGCTGGAATGCGAGATGACATGGAATCACTCCAGCGGTTGTTTTCTCTAGGTTCGGTGGTGACCTCTACTCAGCGAGGAAAACAAATAGTAAATAATGTCTCATGACCAGTTGTCTGTTGTCCCTGAGCTCCTAGAATACCCAGGTATATAGGAGCATCTTGTACTCGAGAGGACTTGGTCAGAAATACAATCCGCATGATCCCATCTCGCGTTCAAACCCTGTCACAATGATTAATACGCTGCATACATCATACACAAGACCAATGTGCTAGTCATCACAAGAAACCATTGACACAAAACCCCGCCCATCCGACGCATGTGTCATGTGGTATAGCAAAACCCCAAGGGGACAGGTACTTACCCCACCCAGAGGTTTCATGCGCAACCCTAGTGTATACAAAACTCTAGGATTTAAATACAGTGACCATAGATGTTCGCAGGAAAGTTTCACGCATCCGTCCGAGGGAAGAATCCACGACGGCCGAAGACTCTGTGGTTGTGCACAAATACTCTGGGATTTTTACCAAAAAATGAAGTTCTAACACCTTCGGTCTAGTGGCCAACGTGGGGATCGAACCCAAGACCTTCGCGTTAATAGCATTGAAACAGATGCATATTAGCACGACGCTCTAACCAACTGAGCTAGTCGGCCACATAATTCCATGCGACTCTTCTCCTGATGAAAGGAAAGGGCTGCTTTCGTATCCGGTCCATTCCGAGGGAGACTTGACCCCATGGTACGTTGAACGGAGATCTAGAATCCTCCCTACCGCTGCTCACCATTCGTAGGTTGGTTCTCGGTCGTTCCATCTCATGGGTATAAAGTCTGGGGTGTCGAGGAGGGAGGGTATCTATCACAATCCATCTATCCACGCTACGCCAAGAGTACGACGCGTCCACTTTTTCTCTGATATGTGGGATATACCTTGACGTGCCCGTTCATTTAGCCTCACACCCCACATGTCGGAGATAACGCGTAGCATCTGGACCGTCGTGCTCATCGCTACGGGCGAGGGGAAGAAACAGCGTTAGCGCTGAGGTTCGTGTGGTTAGCGTCAACTTTAGCACTTGCGTTAACGTCTACCTAACTTAGTTCCGCTCCCGCGCGTTGGATTCTAAAATTACACCACTCTTCCCATTCCATTGCAAAGCTGGTCAACTATCTATCTATTTATTCATCCACACAATCAAATTCGGTCCCGGTTTCCCCAACTCATCCAAACTGGTATGTGTACCCTCTCCTTCCTTTCCCTTCCCCGCGTTCGGGTCTGACGAACTCCGTTAGTACCACTACCTATCCTGATATCCAAAAGAAAATGTTATGTACAACTACGCGCGTGTCTGTATGATTACCAAATAGCATCTCATCTCTTCCACCACTATTACTGCTTGAATAAAAATAAGTCTTCGCACGCATGTCTTTACATATCCTTCTGCGCCAACGTTACGTGTACCCAGGCGAACACAACTACGCGCATTTCTGTATGATTACGAATTAGCGATAGCATCCTTTCCGCCACTTGAATAAGTCTGTGTGTGTTGTGACGTCGGAGGAAAGCGGGTTGCCTTCTGAACCTCCGTTACGTGCAAGACAATAGCACGCCAGTCTTTACCAATTGAATAAGTCTTGCTACGCGGGAGGAAAGCGGGTTATCTTTTCGCCGTTACGATATGTAATGCACCCAGTTCGAGACAACTATGCGCATGCTCCTGTCACTAATAGCATCCATTCCATTGCTCGAACAAGTCTGCGCCAAGTCCGTAACGTATCGCATTACGTCCGAAGAAAGCGGGTAACCCTTTCCACCTGTGCGCCCAGGTCAAGATAAATTGCCAATGAACGTAAGACGCGATCTTGGCGCAATCTCGAACGACACTACAATCTCGAACAGTACACCGCGCTCCAACGCCACCCGATATCGGGATCCGGCGATATATGTATATTAATACAGCCTCGAATAACGAAGAACAACCGAGCCCTAGTACGCATTACCGATAAGATATACCCATACCTATACTATACGAAAATGTTCGAATGAATATAGTATTGACGCGTGATAAGAAGATAAAAAAACCTAAAAAAAAATGAAGTGTTGCGTTATGAATGTCGATGGCGATGTTGATGGTGATGATGATGTGGCCGGTGTTCCCGCTGGTAGTCATACCCGGGAGCGACGGTGACGGGTGTAGGAGTGCGATGCCCCCCTTGGAACACCCTCTGCAGGAACGAAGGATGTCGATGCGGTGGCAGCGGAGGCGTATCGGAATCCGTCGACGAAGATGTGGAAAACACGACCGGCTGAAGCCCGTCTGCGTCAGAAACCGCGAGAAACGAAATGCGGAAGGGAAGGACGAACCACGACTCTAGATGATGACCTGCCTCCTTTTTGTTGTGGTGGAACAATCACGTATCCTCCTGGTGGCGGCGCGTATGCGCCGCGGTAGTACTGCGGTGGTGGCGCGGGTGGATTGGGATACGGTGTTGGGTAATATGGGTTGTGATTAGTATACCCGGGGTAATACGGCGGTGGAGGCGGTGGTGGTGGTGTAGGCGTAGGCGAGACGTAGTAAGTCTGGCTGGGACGGTGTTTTGATTGGGAGCGGCGAGTGGAGGAGGAGTGACGTGTGGTGGTGGGTGGTGGCGCGGGGCCGTGTAGTGGTATTGCTGGCTGGTGGTGACGAGAAGCAGAGGGAGGGGGGGCAGGACCATGGTTATGTGGCGGCATAGGTCCGGGTACCGGAGCGTACAAGTTCATCGGAGGCGGGGGCGGGGGAGGTACTCGCTGGGAGATACCCCGGGTGAGCACGGCCTGATGTGGCCCAGGAGCATCATCGTCTCCGACATCCGAACGAGGACCAAAGGGCGACCTGTACTCGGAAGCATGAGCTTGAGCATCGTCGACCCAGCGAGAAATCCGCCGCATGGTCGCTTGGTAGCGCTCCGCTGCTTCAGGAGAGTAGTCGTATTCCGTCATTGTCGTCACAAAGGAGTGTGTGAGGCAAGGGGACAATAAGAATAAGTCTAGGAGAAAGAGAGGAAGGAATTATATATCAGATTCGGAGCGGAGAGGGAGAAAGTCAAGGTTGCGTGGAAACAATTGCCTGGCGGCCCATGGCGGTTCGGTTCAAGTGCGATCTCGGCTGTGACGCTGCCTTATCTACGCGGCACGTGTCCGGCATGTGTCTCTCCGTGGAAGGGAAGCAGATTAGATTTTAGATTTAAGACTCCGCAGTTCTTTCGTGTGCTAGTGAACTGCCTCTCAAGGACTACAGCCAGTAACTAACTAACAGCTAAGCCCTCGCAAGGATGGTTCAGATCGGCCGGGGCCGGCATCACATGCAATGACTCCAAATTTATTCTCATTCAGTTGGGACTTGAGCTCTCCGTCGGACGGAGCTGTATTGTATTCACTTACGAAAACCACCGACATCGTTTGCTGTTTACGGCGAGTACCGCCTATTATAGGACTTACCACACCACTCTGGGCCTAGTATATTCCGCCGACATCTAACCTTAGATCGCCGTCTCAAGCGAAGGATAGAAAGCGTCACACACCTGTAGTATGTACGTTATCGAGCCTAATCGTCCCTGACTCTGGGGTAAACGAGTGCTTGCTTCTCTTCCTTAATTAATCTCGCTGCTTTCTTTCTTGCTCGACTTGACGCCTAAGGTATGGTGACCGTGTTCCCTCGTGCACGGATCTTGCTCTTTCTTCAAACCCGCGTGTGATACGGCTTTTGTCATACGACGTGTTATTGTATTCTCAAGTCTCCGAGAGCGGATTCCGATGACGCAAACATAATACGGCACCCATCACCACCCACACTTTCTTTTGTCTGGATGCTCACAACGCTGACGTCCTCTATGATGAGCAGCAAAAATAAATACCCACTCCGGTCCGACAAGGGGTAACGTTAGTGATCATTGGGGAAACAAGCATCTGTAGGGTTTTCATCTTCCTTTCATTAATTTCGCTCAGTTCTTGCAGCCCCTTGCGACCCGGACCGGTACTAACCCGCGAGTCAAAGATCACGACTCACCCTAAATACATCGTTCTGTTTTTTTAGCTCTTGGTCCGGGGAAATATCGCCGCGTCGTTCCTACTATGATCCCGATATCGCCGTCTCTGCCCGGCCCGAACGAGCGTGGAATACAGGCGCCTCTGCGTGAGTATCAGCCCCCACGTACCGTAGAAACAAGCGCTCGTATGTCTTTTGTCTTCCATTTGTCGTTCACATCTCTCAATTAGGTCCCATTGCGACTCGGGCTCAGTTACTAGCGCCTAATTATATGTTCTAGTCAACGCTCGAAGTATCCTGCCTGACGGCGCGGTGACCGTTGATTGATTCGACTCTCGTATCCGTTATGACTCATGTTAATCATCCTTCGCAGCAAACAAGTACCTCCGGTCCTAACGCTCTAGGCCTCGCTCTCGGGCACTTACCATATCCCCGAAAGAGTAAGTGATTCGTCTTACAGCCCACAGCAAGCCCACCCTCCCAGCTTCATAGCACACTGTGATAACTCGACAGCCAGCACCGCCTCTGTATGTTCGCTGCACCGCTTTGCTCAATAAAGTGCTTCTTCTCCGCAGTTACGATTGAGAACATCCGACCCTCTTCACAACAAGTACCTACTATGACGCTCGGCTTCATAGCACGCTGTGATGCTCAACAGCCAACACCGCTTTCATATGTTAGATGCACTGCTTTTCTCTATCAAAGGTCATTAACGTTCTTCTTCGCAGCTACGATTGCGAAGAGAGAAGACGTACACAGGAATCTACACGCACCTGAGAAGTTCATTGCACCCTTCTCCGGGACGCGTAGCTTTCTCACACGATGTCACTTCTATGGCGCTTCTTCTTCCCCGGAGGATGGGGGGGGGGGGGGTCCCAACTTCCCTCGTATCAATCCTGACCGGTATTCTCTTATCACGACCCTTCCGCATAGATTTGTATGGTTCCGCTTCTGAGCGTCTTCTTCGACCGGGAGTCTTAGTCCGGCCCGAGTAAGCGAGCAGGCGCCTCTGTGCGTGGAAACAAGCGCTCGTATGTCCCTTCACCCAGTTTAACTCTTCACAGTATCAGCGCCTAATCATACCTTTCTCTCGTTATCCTGCTTCCCGCATCCGGTATGAGTCTGCAACAAACACGCTGATTTCCGGTCCTACAGCTGCCCCCTCGGGGCACCCCCGATGGAGTGAGTGGTAAGTGCTTTCCCCTGTTCTTCCGTCCCTCTTATCCTTACAGCTATTACGACGCACTCCTCAGCTTCATAGCTCGCTATGATATTCCACAACCATCACCGCCTTCTGTGTGTTCGCTGCACTGCTTTCCTCAATTAACGTGCTTCTTCTTCTTCGCAGTTCCACGGTTGAGAATACCCCGATTACAGAAGAGATTCGGTGTATACAGGAAGCTGAGAAGTCAATTGCTCCCCTCTCCCTTCTCCCTTCTTCAGGACGGTAAAGATACGTGCTTTCCCACACTTCCATGGCGCTTCTTTTCCCCGGAAGACAGGGGACTCAGCTTCCCTCGTATCAACACTGACCGGTATTTTTTTCGTTCTTTGGTGGGGCGGAACATCAAGCACGGATTCGTCAAGGTCCATTATCCGAACTCGTGGTAGAACTCACTATAGCGCCATGTATGTTATTTCTCCGGTCCTGAAATCCGATGAGCATTGTTTCTAATACTTAACTTCTGCAAGTTCTACAGAGGCGCTTAATCCTAGTCTGGACTCTTGGTGACGTTCTCCGAATCCGAATCCGATGATGCGTCACTCTTGACACCTCGTCTAGTATACACTAACCGTCCCTGAGCACTCCTCTTCTTCCGTTCATTAATTTCGCCAACGCATGATATTCTACGGCACTCAATCCTCTCTGAGTAAGCTTGACCAGAAATAACCACCCCGGTCCGACTAGCTGGGTAACGTTAATGAATGTCTTACAGGTGCTTGTTTCCCCAATGATCATACTCCATTCATTAATATCGCTCACCCCGGCCCCTCGCGACTCGGATCAGCGAGTCAAAGAATACGACTCTTCCACATACATTTGCGCGTTGTTCAATTCCATCATATCATCTCTGTGTTAGCCCGGCCCGAAAGAGAGAGGTGTGCTTAACGCTCAGGCGAATATCAGCGTCTAATGGTGGTCCTGTGCACCGATCTCTCGCAAAATAATAAGCGCTTGCACCTTCTTCTTCCGCTGAATTTTCTCAGTTATCAGCGCCTGATCATATATTCGTTGTAGCCAATGTTGATGAACCCTGTCTGATGGCGCGGTGACTTGGCTTTCTTGCTAAACATCCTTCGTCTCGGGCAACAAACACCTATCTCCGGTCAGGTCGCTCGGGCACCTCCGAATCAAAAGATGGAGTATGTGTCCATCTGTCCCTCTTATCCTTACAGCTCACAACAAATATATATTGCAACCGTCTCAGCTTCATAGTATTCGACAGCCATCAATTGATAAGTAGCACCGCTTTTGTATGTTCGCACCGCTTTCTAACATTCCTGCAGGCGAGCGATTTTCTGTACACAGGAAGCTGTTTCCATCTCAAAGATTTAGATCGTCCCCCCTACCCGGCCCATTTCACAGCGTACTCTTCCTTCACTCCTTCTCCGGGATGGTCAATGGTACGCCTCCTTTCCCACATTCATAACGAGCGGATCTCACTTGCAGGGCGCCAGATGAGGGTCAAATGACGACCTTCACTTGTATCGGTACTGACCGGTGTTTTCTTCGTGCGAACATCTCCGGACTTGTTCATCCTTTGACCGTGTTAAGTACTGTTATCCGGACTCGCGGCAGGGATTTATGAGTCAATGCTAGGCTCCTTTTCATCCATCTCCCTTTCATTATGATATCATGTTTGCCGTTTCACGAAATCCGTCTCTGATACTTGAGTTCTGCATGTTCTACAGAGGCGCTTAATTCTAGCCTGGATCCATGGCGACGCTTTCCGAATCCGAATCCGAGTCCGATGATGACTCAACACCGCCGCCACGCTCTGACGCCCTTCATCTCCCGGTCATTAATTTCGCTCATTTCTTGAACATTCGCGGTTCGGACTAGGACCAACTCAAGATCGCACCAGCAAGTAGATACACGGTAGCGTCAACCACTCAGACGCCCATAATCTAAGCGAACACGAACAGGTATCTTACTTAGAAGCAGACGCTCGTATGTCCCTCGTCTTCCATTCTTTAACACTGCTCAATTCAATTATTCAGATGCCAGCCAGTGGATTCGCGACTCGGACTTGGCGGACTATTACCCACCGCGAAACCGATATCGTGAGTAGAAACATGACTCTGTTTATTTATGTCTCTTTATATCCTTCCAGCTTTTAGACCGGGGAGGTATTTCCGTGTTATTCAGTTCCATCATATCATGATACTTACATCGCCGTCTCAGCCCGAGCGTATTGTACTTAACGCTCAGGCGAATCTCAGCGTCTGATGGTCCTGCCTGCCGGTATCTCACGACGAAATAAGCGCTCGTATGTGTGACTTCCATCTTTCGTTCGTTCACATCGCTCAAATCAATTCTATAGACCCGAGCTAGAGAACTTGCGACTCGGATACAGTTATCAACGGCTGATTATACATTCTAGTCAATGGTGATGACAGTCTATCCGTGCCGCGTGAATAACAATGACTACTCTGGTTCGACTCACTTATGCAATTTTGGTTTAACATATGTCTCCGAACCGTGGGAGAACAAATAATTGTAAGTCCCTCCCCCGTTTATTACTTATCTTCGCTCATTTCTCGAAGCCCCGGCGGACCTACAGCGGCCCAAATCTAGGTCTCGCGACTCGGGGTACCTCTGATGGTGATGCTCTTTCCGTGACGGAGCAAGTGCATCGTGGCTGCTTACCTCCCACGATAGCGTCATTCCCAGCTATAACATCCGCTGGGCTATTCGACTGCCATCAATGAACACGCATCGCCGCCTCATAAC